CTCCGCTGTCTTCCTACCCCGCCCCCAGCCTCCATGACGCCCACAGCCGCTACATCGACTCCCATTACCTTCTAGAGGAGCCGCTACTCCAGGCCCTACACAAGGCCCTTCAGGCCCACTCCAACCGCCACCGCAGCTGGCACCAGTCGCATCCCTCGCCTCCAACCCAGCAGGTGGTGGAGGTCCGAGCCCGGGAAGCAGTGGCATGCTGCGTGCGGGGCTGGCTGGCTACATGCCGGCGGGCGGCGGGGGCCGTGTGGTGGCGGGGCTGGGGAGGTACACGTTGAGCCTTCGGGGGCTGCGAGGTGAGGAGCACACCTGCACCTGCACATGCACATGTACATGCTTACTTGTGATTAAAGCACATGCTGGTTGGGATATACATCATACGTGCAGGCGTTGTGGGACGGGCTAGCTTTGTTCAATGTGCGTTGGGCTGTACATACGAGCGTACGGCAGCAGCATCCTGGGAGGGCTCTATTATGTGCAGCTGCTGGCATACTCAGGGCCCTAGCGCTGTATACTTTATAGCCATACATTCTTCTCGGGTTGCCTGGTGTGCCACCGGCAATTGACTGGTTACTGGCGGCCCTATGCATGCATGCATGCATACACCAGGGATGCTTGCGGGCGGGCTATCGGTGCTGCGCCCACGGATCGGGGTGGCGGAGGGGCTGCTGCACGCCTGGCTGGAGATGGGCGACATCACCTCCGCGGAAACTGCTTCCACGTTGCTGTTGCAGGTAGGTACGGCATCTAGCCAGCTAGGACAGGAGGGCTACTGCTGGAAGCTTGGCAGCTGTCGTAGCTTTGCACTATCAGTCGCCCCTTACAGTAGCGTGCTGCCGTACCGGCTTAGAAGCAGGTTGCAGGGGTGAATTTGAGTTGATGACACGCACGCAGTCGGCGGGACTACCTATTCCTGCCAACCGTGCGATGTCAAGCACTGCTATTGCCTCGACTCTCCTTTCTTCCTGCAGGCCCGAGGCGATGCCCCTCACCATCATCACCAGCTGCTTGCGCATGACGACCTGTCGGCCCTATTACCGCTGCTGCAGGTAAGGTGCGAGTGGCCACATCACTAGACCCAGTCCATCATCACCAACACTACTTGCGCACCGGCTCCTTGGTAACCCTACCTGTAGATATACGCGGTCCGCATACTGTACTTCAGCATTTGACGTAGTTCGTTTCATGTAAACATGGCCTGCATAGCAACGAATCAACCGTGTCATCCCACGACTGCGCATGCAGGCACAGGACAGCAGCCACGCCTTCCGACACCTCCTGCTCTCCTGCCGCCCCAGCGATCCCAGTAAAGGCAGCAATCCTCTCTTTTAGGGAACACAAGGCCAGCGGCGGGACCACCATACCGGTAGCTAAAACAGGACGGTCCCCCGATATACCGGAAGCTAAAGAGGAAGGTCCACTGACGGCTAGCGTAGCTTGTGCGGCCTGGCCAACACGTCATGGCGTCGCACCTGTCATCATGGGGTCTAACCACCTAACCGCCAACGGCCCAACCAACTCTTACACCGTGTCAACAAACTGGATTGCTCCGTCCTCGCCACCGTAACTGCAGCACCCCAGAAGCATGCCGAATTGAAGTATCCACCACCTCTTAACCTACGAACCGTGCCGCTAACGTGTTTCTACAGCGACTACCTGTGCCCTTGTTCCATGTGACCCTTGGTTCTGCGACAGCTAGCTGTCAATGTCCCGAAGTCGGTTCTTATTTGTCTAGCATTATGCTCTATGGCGTGGCATGGTTACTGTGATGGGGCCGGACCGAAATCATGATCGGTCCGTACCAAGTTGGTGCGTGCGTGGCGAGGATATTTGACCATCGTTGAGCAGTGCCGGCTTTATTACTGCTAAGTAGCCCCTGCCTAGAACTGTTTATTGGGTGTGGGCTGATGACACCGTGCCGTGTTAGCGTTCAGGGGTGTTCATTCAACTGAGCCGCGTAACGAAGTCGAAGTAGTAAGTATTGCAAGGGATTGATTGACAATAAGTTTGAATGGTTCTGTAATCATGCTTTAAGAGTTGTCCCCCCGATTCAGTTGGAGCACCGGAGAGAATCGCAATTCCTTCGTCATGCGATTGGTAATAAGCAGTGTGCAGCTGCCAGCCTTGATGTTCTGTCTAGATGCTCAAGCCGTCCCGCCAATGGAATGCCAAACAGGTTGTAGAACATGCACTTGCGATTTACATATTTCCGTGTCTGCAGTTATCATTCAGTTGTACGGCGAGTAGCAGGGCCAGTTCGTACACGTAATCGTGCCAGGCAATTCAAGCTCTTTCAACGCCTTGTTATTCCATCGATTAGACCATAGGCAGCATCTCTTTTCCGTGCCGCAGTATAGACAACCTACTAGTGAATAGCCTGACGACCCACATCTCTCCCTCCCACACCAATCCCCACCCTCCCGCACCCGCCCCCACCCTACCTACCTCTCCGCCCCACCTACCCGCACCCGCCCCGCACCCGGCCCTACCTACCCCTCCGCCTCGCACCCGCCCCGCCCATCCCACACCCGCCCCCTACATACCTACCCGCACCCGGCCCCACCCTCCTGCACCCGCCCCCTACCTACCCTTCCAACCCCTGCCCCCACATTCCCACCTACCCCCACACCCAGCCCCACCTAATCCTTCCGACCCCGTCCCCCACCTACCTTTCCCCGCCTTCCGCCCCCACCTACCTTTCCCCGCCTTCCGCCCCCACCTACCTTTCCCCGCCTTCCGCCCCCACCTACCTTTCCCCGCCTTCCGCCCCCACCTACCTTTCCCCGCCTTCCGCCCCCACCTACCTTTCCCCGCCTTCCGCCCCCACCTACCTTTCCCCGCCTTCCGCCCCCACCTACCTTTCCCCGCCTTCCGCCCCCACCTACCTTTCCCCGCCTTCCGCCCCCACCTACCTTTCCCCGCCTTCCGCCCCCACCTACCTTTCCCCGCCTTCCGCCCCCACCTACCTTTCCCCGCCTTCCGCCCCCACCTACCTTTCCCCGCCTTCCGCCCCCACCTACCTTTCCCCGCCTTCCGCCCCCACCTACCTTTCCCCGCCTTCCGCCCCCACCTACCTTTCCCCGCCTTCCGCCCCCACCTACCTTTCCCCGCCTTCCGCCCCCACCTACCTTTCCCCGCCTTCCGCCCCCACCTACCTTTCCCCGCCTTCCGCCCCCACCTACCTTTCCCCGCCTTCCGCCCCCACCTACCTTTCCCCGCCTTCCGCCCCCACCTACCTTTCCCCGCCTTCCGCCCCCACCTACCTTTCCCCGCCTTCCGCCCCCACCTACCTTTCCCCGCCTTCCGCCCCCACCTACCTTTCCCCGCCTTCCGCCCCCACCTACCTTTCCCCGCCTTCCGCCCCCACCTACCTTTCCCCGCCTTCCGCCCCCACCTACCTTTCCCCGCCTTCCGCCCCCACCTACCTTTCCCCGCCTTCCGCCCCCACCTACCTTTCCCCGCCTTCCGCCCCCACCTACCTTTCCCCGCCTTCCGCCCCCACCTACCTTTCCCCGCCTTCCGCCCCCACCTACCTTTCCCCGCCTTCCGCCCCCACCTACCTTTCCCCGCCTTCCGCCCCCACCTACCTTTCCCCGCCTTCCGCCCCCACCTACCTTTCCCCGCCTTCCGCCCCCACCTACCTACAGGGGGCCATTATATAGCGAGAAAGGAAAGAAGGGACTGAAAAGCCATAGGAAAAGATGCGTGGGGGATACAAAAGAAGGGAAGAGGTAGGTCCGTTGTGGGAGGGAGGGGTAGGTGCGGGAGCGTGGGGGCGGGTGGGGGTTAGGTGGGGCGGGTGTGGGGACGGAGGGTAAAGGTAGGGGGCGGGTGTGGGGAAGGTGGGGCGGGTTCGGGGTGGGTGGGGCGGGTGTAGGGTAGGGGTGTGGCCTTGGGAAGGAGTCGGTGGGTCGGTAGGGGCGGGTGTGGGGTAGAGGGGGCGGGTGTGGGATGGAGGGGTAGGCAGGGGGCGGGTGTGGGAGGGAGGGGGCGGGTGCGGGAGGGTTGGGGCGGGTGTGGGAGGGTGGGGGCGGGTGTGGGAGGGTGGGGTAGGTGGGGCGGGTGCGGGAGGGTTGGGGCGGGGCGGGTGTGGGGTGGGCGGGGGCGGGTGCGGGAGGGAGGTGGGAGGGATACGGCTATCACAAGATCCTGCTCTCCCCTCCATTCCTAGGTGGTGCATTATTGAACATTATAAAATGCAAAGGCATTGCTATATTCATACACACATTGTGCATAAAGATGCAGCGGTGGTCGGCACAATCGCTATCAACAAACGCCGACCCATGGGTCAACCTGTCCTCATGCCTCCCGCCCACAATTCCGCACGCTCAGGTGTTGGAGTAGGCGGTGGAAGCCGTTGGGAACCCGAGCGCGTAGCAGTTGCAATGGAGTGTCTGGGGCGGCTGCAGCAGGATGTCATCTCTCCGGAATCGCCCGAGGCCCGATGGATGCCCAATGGCTGCGAGGCGTATTAAAAAATGGAGGCAAGACGAATGTCCTTGAATGAGAGACCAGGCATGGCGCGTGTAGGGTAAGGGGCATGTCGATCTGAACCACATAAAGGGACTTGATGAGGGCCGATAATGTGTACAGGGTAGTGCGGATGCAGTAGTAGTTGAAGTCTGCAGGGTATGGGCCTCGGTCGCAAGCGACATCTTTTGTAACACGGCAAAAGCGTTTGGCCGTGAGGGCACCGGCGGCTGGTAATGACTGTGGAGGGGGGCAGTGAACAGTCCCCGCTGTAGCCCTGGGAGGAGGTGAGCGAGGTATACATGCTTTGCAACTGCCGTGGATGTCAACAGAGAGATTCTATCTTGCCAACATAGAGAGATTGTACCTTACAAGTGCAAGGTTGAACCAGATGCATGGGTCCAGGGACAATGGTCCCGCAGCATACAGTGTATGCCAAACTAACCACGCGTGCTGATTGCACGCTGCTGGGACCATTAGTTAAAGCGCACGAATTGCGTGGCAAACTATACACCATGTACCTATAACCCAGCCATGCAACTTCAATGTTCCCGTGTTACGTGTTACTTGAGCCACTCCCAGGCCGGTTGCCCCCCCCCACACACGGACGATTTGTATTTGTAATTACGCCACCATACACCTCAGCTCCTGTGGCGTTTCTGTGGGGACTTGATCTTCCGGCAATCACAGAATGTTCCGACTCGCGGCCAGTTTTCTGAACACACGCACAACCGCACAGGGCGGCTTGCAGTGCGTTCGTAACATGCACAGACCCCGCATGAACAGATCATCCACTCAAAGCGCCTGCCACCGTCTCGCCAGCCAAACCGCATCAACCCCAACTTCTACCCCCTCCGCCCCGCCCCTCGACGCGAAACACCCACAAACACAACAGCACACACTCCTTTACGCACAGGGCCAGTCAATTTGAGCCAGCCAGAACGCACAGGCCCGCATTCATTCATAGTGCCCTCCTCAAGCACCCGCCACATCCCAACCCTAACCACCGACACCACCCCGCCCCCTCACGCCACCGGCTGCACCCGCACCGGCACCGCACGCTGCTCCTCCTGCTGCTGCCCCTCCTCCTCCTCCTGGTCCTGGTCCTGCTGCTCCTCCTCGTCCTGCTTCACGACGGCGAAGCGGCCGGGGTTGATGGCGACAGTCTTGGTGGCGTTGTCGGTCTTGTAGATGCCCACCAGCCGCTCCGCCAGCTCAAACATGTTGTTGCGCAGGCTGATGATGACGAACTGCGCGCCCGCGGTGCGCTCCTTGATGTAGTGCCCCACGATGGACACGTTCTTGAAGTCTACGCGAGCAAGAGCACACGGTGTCAGGTATTCGTGACGGATGGGGGTCCATACAACCGTACCGGTGTAGAGGGGACAGTTGAGAGGGAGAACGAGAGGGCACAAGAGACCATGAGAGGAGGCATGCAGGAGGAGTCCACATGTGAAGCGCCATGCTGCACAACACATAGCTGCCTGGTGTGACGCCATATACGACCGTGGACTACCGGTACCGGTAAGCAGACCTCAAATACAGACGACCTCAACACGTCAACAGCAGCAGCACGTCAGCAGCTGTCTCTTACCCAGCGCCGCGTCGATCTCGTCCATCACGTAGAGCGGGTTGGGCTTGTAGGTGTGCAGCGCGAAGACCAGACTGAGGCTGCTGAGGGTCTTCTCGCCGCCCGACAGGTTGGAGATGTTCTTCCAGCTCTTCTTGGGCGGCCGCACGCTGAACACGATACCCTGGCAGGAGGGGCACAAAGGGGGGAAGACAAAGTTGTGACGCCAGGACATGCATGTGGGCTCGCAGGCTGTGGGCTCGCAACATAGCCCTGGTCGGTATTATTGGGTTTACCGGTAATGCAAGTTACGTGGTTCACTATTTGTACATCACACGCCCCCTGCCCTCACCTCGGAGAAGGGGTCCAGCGAGTCCACCAGCTCCAGCTCCGCGTCACCGCCGCACGTGATCATTTGGTACACCTCCTGCGGGGGGCGAGGGGGACAGATGCGGGAGGGGCAATGTAAGAGTGTTGTCAAAGAGTCACCAAAACATACGCGCGGGATAGCCGAACCGGATCTTTTGCGAGGTGGGGAGAAACGCGGGAGGGGCCATGGAAGAGTCGGGAAAGGGGTTAGGAGAAACGGGAGGAGGTCGTCAGCAGGATGCCAAGAGGGGGAAGCACAACAAGACATCGCAACCGCCGCCATCCTAAACTAGGCCCCGCCTCCCCCCCAACCCACCTTGAGTCGCAGGCTGATGACCTCGAAGCCCGACATGAAGCCGTCCAGACGGGCCTTGCGGAGCGCCTCGTACTCCTTGCGCAGCTGCGGGGGAGGGGGTGTACGGCAGGATGAATGACCGTTGTACGGCACCGTGATATGGTGTGCATGATGTGCAGCGAGAGCGAATGCAGGGTGGGTAGCAATGAGTGAGCAGTGAAGAGGGGTCTTCTCGGTCAGGTGCCAGGGTGAGGAACCACAGGTGGGTTTGCAATGCAGCCAGCCGTGAAGACCCTCATAGCCAGCGTTGACCTACACCCTACACGCTGAAGGAACACACCGCAAACACACGCCGGTAGCCCAGTCCGCCTCACAGGGTTAGTGTTTCCTCTTTTCACCCACCACCCCACTCACCGCGTCTCGCTCGGCGGTGGCGTCATCCAGCTCCTTAGCGCGCTCCGAAAACTCCTTCGCCTGTACAGCAAGTCAACAGGGCAGTGCAGGGCGGTTAGGTAGGTCTTCCTTGCGCATGTGGCAGTTGAAGCACCCCGCCCCCTTGAAGTAACTCCCGCCCCTTCCCCTCACCTTCTGCCGGAACTCCTCGATGGTGGTCAGGTCGGGGCTCAGCTTATCCAGCTCCGCCTCTAGCATGGTGGCCTTGGGAGGGCAGGGGAGAGTAGGAAGGGAGGAGGAGGTGTGCGGTGGAGATGAAGAGAGGTGGAAGAGGAATGGCCATTGTCGTACGGCATCGATGAAACCGTAGAGGACGTTTCATGGGTGGCTTGCAGAAAGAGGGACCAGAGGCAGAGAAGGAAAGACAGGACGAGACAGAGAGATAGAAACGTACGGCACTTCACTCTGCCGTACCTTGAACGTGCACTCGTCGGCCAGCTTGACCAGGTCCGCGTCCGTGGCGTTACCTCGCAGCGCCGCCTCGTCCACCACATAGTCGTCGCTGCCTGATCAGGACACATGCGTGACAGCGGGATGCCAGGGTGATAGCGGAGGCAGGCGGCCAGGAGACTCGGGTGACAACGATGTTATAAGTATGACAGCGGGAGGAGGACGGTAGGAGGGCGAATGTGAGGCCAGCATGCGGAGGCCAGCAACTACCCTACCTCGCAGCTGCAGCCGTACACTCAACTCTAGCCTGACGACCCCACAGCTGTAAGCAGCTCCCCCGCATCCCCTCCCCGTCCCCACGCAACCCACTCACCCACAGCCTCCGCCAGCTTCTTTCGGAACTTGGCCCTCTCCGTCGCCAGCGAGCCGCTCTTGGCCCCCTCCTCGCGCATGAGCCCCGCCAGCCGCTCCAGCTCCTCCTCAATCTTGGTCTCCGTAGCCCGAATGACCTCGAACGTCTGGCGCAGCTGGTCGTGCTGTGGACGGGAAAGAAGGAAAGCCATCCGAGGGGTAAGGGAGGGACAGAGAGAGGGAAGAAGAACGGGTGGCGGTGATGTTGAGGGGGTGGGGGCCACGCCCATGCGTTCGGTTGTTGGGTTGAGCCAACACCCAGGGTGAACGCATTGAGTCGGTGGCATCAGTGACTGTGACTTCCTCCCTCTTCCGCTCCCCTGCGCCTCTGTCCCTTCCCGTTCTGTGTCCTATCCAGTCCCCTGCATGCCGCTACCCACCGCGCCACGAGCACTCTCCACCTCGGCGCCCGTCTCCTTGCCCTTCTCCTCCGCCGCCTGTTTGCGCAGGAGTACCTGCAGCAGCAAGGCAGCAAGGAGGCGGGAAAACCGGGGGACTCGAAAAAAATGTTAAGCATTTTTACAAGTCCGCCCTCACATGTCTTAAGACTATGAAGGCAAAGGGGGCATACTCGATGAGACCAGAAGCGGAAGAACGAGTAGATATCCTCAAGCCGCCCCCCCTTTTGGCAAGGGAGGCAATGTGTAAGCCCCCCGCAGCTGTGCCTGCGTATCTGCATCTGCAGCGTGTGTTCCCGCAGCAGTACCGATGACGCACCTGCTCCGCCTCCTTCTCGATCTCCTTGGTGGTCTCGGAGCATGCAGCCATCTCCGCCTCCAGCTTCTCCAGGTCCTTGTCTGTCGGTTGGGAAGCCGGAGCCGCGGGTTTCGGAGCCATGCAGGATGTGAATGTGAGTTCAGCTTTCCAGCAGCATGCACGTTACGTGTATGTAGAACGGAAAGTTTACAGGTTATCAGCGAAAAGAATCAAATTGTCTTGAAGCAAGCAGGATGTAGGAGAGATGCGGGTGCTATTCCCTCGCGCAGCGCTCGTGGGCCGGTATGTCCAAGGCGTGAGACCCCTTCTCTCTGCATGATGTACGAACCCAAGTCCCAATCCAAGTCAAACGCACCCTGCTTGGCAATGTCCTTCTTCAGCTTGTCGGCCTGCTTGGCGTGCGCCTTTGCCTGCACCTCCTTCTTGCTGATGTCAGCCTGCGCGGGTGTGGGCGGAGGAAGGCGTGATTACTAAATTGTTGTTTGAGAACCATAATAGTTGCTATCGCGCGGCTGTTCGTCCACCCCTCCGGTGCAACACAGCGTGAGCACGTAGTGGCAGGCCTTCAAGGCATGAGAAAGCATCCAACCGGGCGCAACAGCCGTGGGGGTGGCATACGGTAGCGATCACAATTGGCATGACCATTTACCGGTGGGCCCCTCCTCTTACCTCCGCCTCCTCGATCTTCTTGCGCGTCTTCTCCACTTTGGTCTTCTGCGAGCGCAGCTTCTCGCCGCCTGCAGGACACAGTACACAGCCACGGTGAGGTCGTCATCACAGCCGTAGGTGACCCATGGGTCACTATCACTCGGCACCACTGCTTCCGGCGCACCACCATGCTATTACCCAGCTACCCACCATCCCTACGCGCATAACCCCACCCTCCTCCGCACTACTCACCCGCGTTGTCAATCTTGTTTTGCAGCGATGTCGCCTTCTTGTCCAGGTCGCTGCACTGCTCCTTGAGCGTCATCAGCTCCACCTTCTCCTTGGACACCTTGATGTGCAGCTCCTTGATGCGGGAGGCGTCGGCTGCGTCAACCTAGTGAGAGAGGGGAGGGGAGGGAACACCATGCGAGAGGCAGAAAAGGAAGGGACGGGCGCGGAGGACTGAGGACTGCCAACTGTTACATTAGATTACCGGTACTAGACAGAGGTTGGAAGGAGGATTCGGGAGGGCGTAAGGGGTGGAAAAGAGAGACAGTGGTGGTCAAGGGCGGGTAGCTGGGGTGTGTGTCACTGCGGGCTCCCTGCTGAGAGAGCGCCAACATGCCAGTGAGAGCACTGTGCCGCTGGTTCGTTCTTAGTATCGTGTCCTAGGCTCACCTGCACTCCCTCCTGCAGCCCCGCCATGCGCTCAGCCAGGTCGGCCGCTCGCTGCGTGTTGGCCTCCGCCTCCATGCGGGCCTGGGAGGGGTGGGGGCCAGGGTGGGGGGTTTGGAAAGCGGGATGGAGGAGGAAGCATGAGGAATGAGAAAGGAAGGACAGGTTAGAAATGATACACGTCTTCGCATGCACTGGCGGAAAACCAGAGCTAAGGCGATAAGCTTCAAGCGCCACACACCGCCCCCTCCCCCCGACGGCATCCTGCCGCCTCCTACCCCCATTGCTTTGCCCTAACCTGTGGTCTCCTATGGTTTGGTATGGTCTTTGACCCCCCCTCCCCCGACGTCACAACTTGCTGCCTGTGCTGACTCGCGTGCAAACAAGCAAGCCTGTTCAGTTCCCCTCCTCTTCCCGCCCCCCATTCCTCACCTTGGGCAGCTCCAGCTCCAGCGCCGCCACCTCCCTCTCCGCGCCCCTCACCCCCGCCTGCGCCGCCGCCACCCGCTCCCTCGCCCCCTGCACCGCCCGCCCCAGCTGCTCCGCCTGCCGCTCAACCTCCCGCAGCTCGGCCTCCGCGGCACGAGCGTCCGTGGCGGCCCCCCGCGGAGCCTGGTTGCCCAGTGCGATGCGGCCGGTCTGGGGGCGCCCGCCGCCCGACATGGTGCCGCTGGACTCGATGAGTTGGCCCTGGAGGGTGGTGGAGGATAGAGGATGGGGAGGGGGGGGGATAGAGGATGGAGAGAGGGGGGGGGAGGTGTCACGAGTAAAGAAGCCCCAGGTTGAGACATGCAGTAGACGGGTGTTAAAGAGTCTTGGGGTTGGGGGTGAGATACTCGATACATAGTGTAGGTTCCTGTCCACATGTTTGCCAAGTCCCAGTCCCAGCCCCACCCCTCCAACCCACCTGCAGCGTGACCACGCGGGCAAAGCGCCTGTCGCCTCCGTAGCCGATGCGGCTGGCCTGGTTGAGGTCCGCTGCCACCAGCGTGTCCCGGCACGCGTAGTAGAAGGCGACCCGTAGCTTGGGGTCCTTCACCTTAATCAGGTCGAACAGGCGGGGGCAGCCTGGTAGGGGGTTGGGTGGCCGGAAGGGAAGTGAGACGGATCGAGGGTTTTATGGGTGAGCAAACCACGTGCTTTCCCTTCGTTTTGCGCCATCCTGCGTGCGATTGTCCCCTAAACACTACCCCCCCCCCGACACCCCGCCCCGCTCCCCTACCCTCCGGCGTGTCCACCCTCTCCGTCACCCTCTGCGCCCACTGCTGCTGCGCCTCCAGAATGAGGAAGGTGGCGCACCCCGCCCCCGTGCGCCGCAGGTGCTCCACCGCCCGCTGCGCGTCGCTGGTGGTCTCCACCACCACGTTGTCCAGCGCGCCGATGGCGGTGGAGGCGGCGGCGTCGTACTTGGCATCGATGGCGCCCAGGTCGCCTGGGGGGAGGGGTGGAACAGTAGGGTGCATGCAGTGGCAAAAGGCCCGCAATGGAGTGGCAGGACTCAGGCCTGAAGGGTGTCATAGTGCCGTGTGCAAAAGGCAAACCAAGCCTTTAATGCGCATCCTCCAAGCCATGCCATGCCGCCCCCGGGCCCCTACCCCAACCAGACACGTACCCAGCCTGCCGTAGATGCCGCTGAGCTCCCCCCGGGACTTGGCGGCCATCAGCTCGCGCATCACACCCGACTGCCCCTGGCTGGCCTGCAGGTCAGCCCTGCAGTGCAGGAGAGGGGCGAAAGGGAGGGTGACTTGCTGCCAGTTGCTGGTAAGGAAACATTAAAATGGCAGTCATGGATGGGGCCGGTCCGAGGTAGAAAGGTGTGTACGAAAAAGGAAACACCCGAGTTACAGCCACGTCAACATGCGCTACGCTCCTTGTCAGTGGGTCCCGACCCAGACCGACCCAAGGGTCACAAAACCACCCCAATGCCGGCTCTCCTCCCCCCACCACTCACCTCAGCTGCACCACCCTCTCCCGCACCGCCCCCAGCTCCTCCTCCGCCTTCCTCTCCTCCGCCTGGGCGGCCGCCAGCGCCTGCTTGTGCCCCTCGGCGTCCCGCTTGCGCTGCTCCAGGGAGGCCTCGAGCTCCTTGATGCGCTGCTCCTTGCCGGCAGCCGCGGAGCGAGCCTCCTCAAGGTCCCTGGGAAGGAGGAGAGGGAAGGGAGGAAGGGAAAAAAAGGTAAGGATGAGGAGGAGGTTCCAAGGTAGTATGGGCTTACGGCAGACGTTATGATTTGATGCATGTTACCGCTCGCCATGTGGGTCGTCTAGCAGGTTTGGGAACCACATCCTCAGCGCACATAGAGACCTCAATGACACTAAATCCATCCAGCCGGAATCCATCCATCCATCCATCCGCCACCAAACAAAAGCCACGACACGGCTACCGCAACCCCATTCCCAACCCATCCCCGCCCCACACGGTTACCGGTAGTTATTGTCTCCTTTCACCCCACACCCTCTTCTATCCCAAACACCCCCTCCCCTCTTACTTTGTTGCCTTCTCCAGCCGCTTCTTCGCCTCGTTCCCCTGCCGCTGCAGCAGCTCCATCTCCCGCTCGCTCACCGAGATGCGCGCCTGCACCTCACCCATCTTCCTCTCCCAGGGCGCCAGCTCCTTTCGCACGCCCGCCAGCTGCTGCCTCAGCCCCTCCACCTCGCCCCGCGCCGTCTCCTGCATCTCCTCTAGTGCGGCCTCTGCGGCGGCTAGGTCGGCGGTGAGGGACTGCACCTGCGCTGCCAGCTGTGGGCCCGCCGCCTCGCACTCCTTGCGCTCCTTCTCGAGCGTCTGAGGGAGTAGGCGGGGAATGCGGGATGGGGATGGGGAGGGTGTGAAGAGGAGAAACCAACTACCGGATACAAATTGATACTAAGAAGGCCCCCGCATGTACGTGTGGGTGTCGATGTACAGCAGCTTCCAGCAAGCGGGGGCTCACACAACCCATCTCTGCAACCACAACACCACCATGCAGGGACATATCCGCCGTCCTCCCCCTCCCGCCCCCTCGACAGCCCTCACCAAGCCATCCTACCTCGAGCTGCTTCTTGTCCGCTGCCTGCTTGTCCGTGAGCTTCTTCTGCTTGGTGCGCAGCGCCTTGAGCGTCTCCGTGTTCTGAGCGTCCTTGCGCTCCATCTCCTTGAACGCCTCCGTGGCGGCATCGATGGACTGCAGCGACACGTGTTGGCATGGGGTAAGGGCCCCGACAATTGCCCCAAAGCGCATAGGAGAGGTCGCAGAGGAAACAGTACCCGAAAACAGCGACCTCCCCACCTGTCTATATGCATGTCGGACCTACCCACCTTGACGACTTGCTCATGCGCCTTCGTCGCTGCCCTGTACTTCTTCTCCGCCGCCGTGAGCTCCTTCTCCTGCTCCTTGAACTTGGCCCGCTCGTGCGCCAGCTTGGCCTTCAGCTCGCCAGTGTTGGCCTCGGCGGTGGCCAGGTTGGCCTGTTGGGGAGGGGGCAGGGCGGGGGCAATGGTAAGGAGAGTAAGGGCAGCAAAGAAATACCGGTAAGACTAATTGACATGCTTATACCACTAGGGGATCTGGGACGCCATGTCAGCTTCCGGTCTTCTATGGTCACGGTCAATGTTTCATCGCGCTTCAGTAACTCCTGGTTTACTCCCACACACACACACGCCGCCCACACATTTTCCGACATCCCAGTACGTTCCTACTCGCGGCCAGTTTTTCTTAACACACGCCGCCCCGCGGTACCCAGCTGCCGCTCTCACCTGGACCTTCATGGCCAGCAGGTGAGTCACGTTGATGCGCAGTCGCAGCATCTCAGCCTGCTTATCCAGGAACTGCTGGGCCTCCTCCGCCTTGCCCTGTGGGGTGCCGGGTCGTGTCGTACAACGGCCGTACAGGGACGGAAGAGACCGCCGCGTGGTGTTGGTAGATGCAGGAGAGGTTCGGGAAGTGGGTCGGTAATTAGTGAGGTGGGAGAGGAACGTTCACGCCATAGTGCGCGCAGTAAGCCGTTTTCGCTGAAGACGGAGACATACATTTCGATGCAGCCAGATGCGATCAGCCCGAAACCCTAAACATCCTCTCCGCGAAGATGTGCCGACGCACCTGCAGCCCGTCCTTCTCCTTCTCGGAGACCTTGAGCCGGGCCACCATGGTCTGCCGCTTCTCATTGATCTCCTCCAGCCTGCAGACATGAGGGTTGGCATTGGCAGGCGGGCATGTAGATGGGCATGAGAGGAGTCAGGGCTGGGCAATGCGCATGGCTGGGCTGAGTGCATCAACAGCCCAGCATGCATCTAAATCTAAGTAGTATTGATTGCAAGCCCTGATTCATTCCATCTGGATTACTTCCAAGCCTGCTGTCCCAAGCGCTGCCTCCCGCATACGCCAGTCCCGCTCCCGCTGCTGGTCCCTCCCGCTGCTGCCCCTGCTTACTTCTTGCTGGCCTCCTCGATGGGCTGCACGTACTTGTCCGTGCCGATGATATCCTGCGAGCGCATAAGCAGGGGAAAGTTGGAATCAGCACTGCCCAATCGCACGGGTAGGGGTTACTGTCGCTCAGCACAGTCAACGAATTGCCAGCTGAGCACGCTCAGCTGGCAACCGGCATCAAAGCTAGCGACGGCGTACTCAAAACCGTTCGTTCCAGCCCGGCCCAGTCCATTCCCTTCCTTTCCCCCTGTGTTTTTTGGTAGATCTTTGTTGGCATATCCCCTCCTTCCCTCACCTCCAGGTACTCCAGCAGCCCGGTATCGTTCTTGTCCTCCGCCTTGGGCTTCATCATGGAGATCTGCTCCACCTCGCCCTGCAGAAAGGTAGGGGAGGACGAATATGACGGAGGAGAGGGGGTTTAAAAACAAACCGAGGAGGGGAATGACGGGGCTGTGCGGGATGGTGGGAGCTGTGCTGTCTTTCCTTCGGGTTGGCGTCTCCCTAAGCCTCCTCCCTGCTGCCACTGCTCTACATTCCCCTGTAGGACAATGCCTTTCTCCTAACCGCCTTCCTGAACCCTTACAGCTTCTCTAACCCACGTCTCCCCCCTCGTTCTAACTCCCTCATAACCTCTCCCCTGCTGCTGCTCCCCACTCGCCTGCAGGATGAGGAAGCGGTTGTTGTCCAGGTCGATCCCCTTGGCCTTGAGCAGGTCCGTGACCTCCTTGGTGCTGACTTTGCGGTTGTTAATGTAGTAGTGCGACTCGTTGTTGCGCTGCGCGGTGCGAGCCACGGAGAACTCGGAGTCGGGGACCAACTCGTAGCCGTCGCCCGCCTGCGGTAGGGAGGGGTGAGGCGCAGTAGGAAGGGGTGTGGGGAGTAAAGGAGGAAAATGCAGACATACGGTATGCAGCAGTCGAATGGTGTGATGGGATGAGGAAAGCGGTATGGTGGGGTTCAGGGGAACGCATGGTTGTTAGGAAAACATGAGTAGAGCTGCGTTTGCAGCGCGTCCCCTGCAAACGTGCGTTTACGGATGGATGCGTCTCCAGACATCTCGGGAACGCGATGTGGGTCAGAGCGCAGTGTTATCGTGAGGGACAGCGCAGCTGCTGTTGTTGGTGCCCGGACGCGCCATGCAATTGGATGTGTTGAAGCTCAAGAGGAGTTCTAACCCGCAGCTTCTTGGCTCCAAGCGTACAAGTGCTCAAGGCACCTCGCCTGCGCTCACCTGATCGATAATCTCTTGAAAGCGCACGGTCACACGCGCATAGTCGAGGTTGCGGTGGTTCTGTGAGTTGTGAATGAGCTCCGACACCTTGTTGAAGCGAAGCTGTGATGCGATATCGCAACAGAAGAGGAGAGAGCTCAGGCTTTTCCTTGCGTGGCTTGCCGCAAACAAGCTTGCGTTCCAAAAGACGGTATCCATCCCGCACCTGTTTCGCCCTCCGACCAAACACGAAGAGCATGGCGTCGATAACGTTCGACTTGCCGCTGCCATTTGGTCCCACGACAGCAGAGAAGGACTGCGACAAAGCAGGGCATTGTTAGGGCCCAGCTCGCTTGACATGCGCATGCCAAGTGCGGCGAGCTCCCAACCTTATGGAAAGGCCCGACGCGCTGCTCTCCCGCATATGACTTGAAGTTTTCCAGTATCATCTCACGGATCATGAGCCGCTGGGACGGTGCATGGGCACCGCTGTTTGCCATCTTTGCGTTGTAAGGGACACAACAGCCCTACTGTATTCAGAGCTATGTGGTCACGTAACAAAGTGCGTAACAACGCTTGCTGCAGAACAAGGCATCGGTCAGGGAATGGGCTCGGAGAATACGAAATAAGTAAAGAGCTCTATTACGTCATTTAGTCCTACACGTATAATCCATGCGTAGCCTATTCCATGTGCACTTTCTTCGACTCGCCATGCTTGGAGGATTTTGTTTGAAATAACCGTCTGGATCTTGCTGTACAAATTGATGTTTGCATGTTGCCAAATGATGCCTGGCGTAGTACTATGGCGTCCGGGACACCAACTTTAACAAATGGTGGTTGTTCTTGGAAAGAGCAAACGATGCCCTGAACGAAGCCATCCAGTGCGGTAACAAATGAGCAAACGTTCTGTAACGCGCCCAGATTCCCGGTCTTCTGTTGATGTCTCACACTACACGTTCTCGGTCGCCGGCTTAGAAGGCGGTGGTGGCAGCTACGCGTTATCATCGTACACGCATACAGCCGTGTTAGTGCCCACAGTGCAGTGACTCACACGCGCAGACTGAGACACATACATACTCCTCAGCTCTCGCACCCGGAAGCCATATGGACTGTACCAAGCCCACAGCACAGGCGATCACTGGTGCCAACGTCCACATCCCATCGGCCACTGGGGGCTAGCGAGACAAGAGGTGCCAACTCCCTCGAAGCTGGAAAAGGAGCGCATCCCCCTGTTTCCCAAAACTGCGGGACGCATGCTGCACCTGAGCAACAATGCATATAATTTCATCGCAACCCATCAAATGCAAGCCGGTGAAACTGGTCACGGATCCAAATGACCCCCTAGACTCCTCGTACCCGCATATGTCTTCATGCTCACGGCTGCTACCGGTACCTCGTCATGTCGTCAGTTTGCCAAACTCGTGTCGAATCCAGCCCTACACACCCTAACTCTCTTCTTCTTCGTCATTCCCCGCCCTGCCTGCATCGCCTCAAGGGTGGTTCCCAAAGGCTCCCACCCGCAGGTACATCCTGATTGGCGGCATGAAGCCACGGACATGGCGGGATCAACGCACTCACGCTGGCACACCAAACCCTGCTACAGTCACCAACTCCAACACTCTTTACCAACCCTGTGCTGAAATCACCATTTGGGTCAGTTTACATACAACACCTGCGCCAGTCCAAGCGCCTCGATCGCTACCAGATCACGGCGCCTGCATGGAGAAAGACCCATCACAATACCGCTATGCTCACAACAGAGCAACGGCGGCAACGGCGTTCTACAACGGCTGCGTAGGCAGGCTGCCTTATACAGCATGCAGCACACCTTTCGGTGCCGTTAATAAGCTCTTCAGATGGCCATCAATTGGGATGTCATCACGGATATGTAGACGCATGGCACCGCCCCTACGGCCTTTCAAACGGGCCGAACCGTAGAGCGGCTTTAGGAGGTAGTATCGCGTCGTTAGGCGCCCTAGCGCTGCAACACGGGTGGTCGCAGAAGGTGGGATGGTGACCCCTGAAAGGGGTTGTTCCCTGAGGGGCTCGGTTTAGCCGGGGTAGACAAAGGCGCCGCTGCCGCTGCTGTGCTGTCGCGCACACCCACTGTAGCCAGGAGCTCCGTCCATGTATCGTCTATATGGTCAGCCCCGCATGTATGACACTTCCAGAAGACGATTCGGTGGCCTGCAAGGAAAGCCGGGCACTGGACGTTACACATCCTCCCGCAACTAACCGCGCAAAACATTATTACAAGCTGCAGCGACGCATTATCTATACAAGTCTCAGCGAGAAATTAAGGGGAGTTACGAAGCCACGGACGCCTACCGTTCGGCGGTTCGGTAAGATGCGGTTCCTTGCGAAGTCGCTTCGCCACAATTTCAAGTTGCTCTGCGCCATTCTTAAATTCACGCTTCCACAGAGTGCCGCAGGTAGCACAGGCTGTTAGCTCGGTGAACTGAGTGGACTCAGCGGACTCCATTACGCTTCGCCAGAGAACTAGATACTCACACACCCTATGGTGGGTTGCTATAAACACCTATCAAACCAAGCAGTCCTTGTCGGGTGGAAAGCCGAAGGGGTCTCTCGTCGACTGTTACTGGACGTTGTATCATGTAAGTTGGCAAGGCAAAGCTTGTTGCGGCGCTAACACTCGCACATATATAGTTTGCCCTAAAATTACTTGTTCCCTGGGAGTCTGCTAAGGGGAAGTGGTTTTAACAAGATGCATCCTCGCACAGCTGCACATGTCGCGGTACGGACTGCTGCGATCGACATGATGCCCGGGTATGCGCCGGAGCGCCGGAGCATCCTCCCAGCTATGCCCCGCTCGCATCCCAGCCCAGCACCCTACATTCTAGCACAGCTGCTCCCGAAGCACACACAACACATGCGGGTCGGCTGGTTAACAGCTTGGTACTTGCTGCTAGGGTCTATATGTTTGGCTTTTCAGCTTGAATAGCCAAGTGGAAGGCAGGAGGAAGATGCCGAGGCAACTGTCGACCCTAACCACGTCAAGTCGAGAGTATGTCGAGAGTATGTCGAGGCAACTGTCGACAGTCAACCGTCAACCGCATGCGTTACAGGTATGATGTACGGCACGGCGATACCTATGTTGCTGGTATGGAGGCGCCCCGGTCCCCGGTAGGGATCCGTGTTCCCATTAATGTACCGGCTGTCCGGCGAGGAGCATGTTCCGTGTTCCCACCTTCCAAATGCCTCAAATGCCTATAACTACAACTCCATGCAGTAAGTGTCATCCAGTTGATGTCGAATTTATTACTTGGCACTGGATTCCTGCAGGAAACACGCTTCCATATGATCCCGTGCTCCAACGTATTCCTTCCGTGTTCCCATCCTCTGTGCGTAGGAGTCTGGTCCGGCAAGCACGAAACCAATCGTGTGATGCCCGCCAATGCTTCAGCATCAGCTAGAGGCCCTTCCTGGCATGGTAGGTATGCGTGAGGTGTTTGGGAGGTGGGAACACGGAACATGCTCCTCGCTGGACAGCCGGTACATTAATGGGAACACGGAACACGGATCCCTACCGGGCTGCCGGTCGGTCGCTTACTGGTTGCTGCAGACATTTCGGCAATTTCGGTGGTGATGGTAGTTGCACTTGGGATAGCGAGCAACGCACTGTCTTGCTTTCGGTGGTGATGGTAGTTGCAATTGCGATAGCGAGCAACGCACTGTGGCAAGACATACAGCAGTTGGTACATGCACTGTAATAAGCGACAGCAGCAGCATCACTTCATCAGTATCCCTCCCACCACCCCATCACACCAAAGACCAAGGTTGCCATGTGCGTCAGCCAACCACCCGCCCAACACCCAACCCATCCGCACAGCCCTCATCCGTTCGTGCACTTCTGCGCGTTTGCATACTTTTTTATTCTCCTAGTAGCGCTGTTGATAATAGCAGTTGCGTCAACCCTCTCTAGTAGTAACCCAAACGCCGCATATGCGGCGGCTTTGGCAACGCCTTTAATATCCATGCTGTCAAGTCACTCTCAGAAGAAGAGTCAGTTATACAATCCACGGCACGACATTCGCAACGAACTACCAACGGTTCGCAGCGAAACGAACGTCACACACGTGTGATACAACAAGGAAGCCCGCACATATATATCGGTGTATCACCGCCGCCACCGCCCAAGCAGCAGCAGCACATACAAAAGCCTCGGCCGGAGCAAAAGGTGGTTTATTCTCCGAGCCTAGGAGCAGCTACCGGTAACAAAACTCCACCCAAGCTTTCTTTACACCAATCACGATTAACATACTTGCGTCCGACCAGGCAGATACTCCTCCCTGTCAAAGTGCGCAACCTGTCAAAACCTGCTCCTCCACCTGACATGTCAGAACCTGCACTTGCTCCCCTCCTCCCACAACAGCATTACCGAGCTCTCATCAGCAAAATCTTCAAACGAACACAGGAGGAGGAAGAGTGCCATGCGTGTGGCCAGTTTTCTAAACACCCGCAATCTCCCACCCCCTGCCCTCCTTAAACCCACACACACACCCGCATCTTCCCCTTGCGGCCCGCGACATCCGGTTCATTGCAACACGACTTATTCATCACGGAGGCGCAGAAAAACGCGAAACGCCGAATGTAAGGCATGAGTGGTTTTGATATATTGCTTGTATATTTCGTTCTTCTTCCTCTATAACAAGTAGGGAACTTCATGACAATCTTCCTTCCACCAGCCACCGCAATGAGAGGGGCTGCTGGCGCCCTCAAGATAGACCGAAAGACCTCACCTTCAAAGACTCAATAGCTGACAACTCACAACACAAACGCGGGAACCGCGAGAAATGGAAACATGATAAACACATGTCGTCGTCCAGGTCAAAGGTCCCAGCAACGCAAATGGGTTAGTAACATGGCCCAACGTGGCTTAACGCAAGGGGTTGCCCATACATGCAGATTGGCGCTTGCCAGGAAACCATCTGTGTGTGACGCGCGATACGAGTCGTGTAGTCGTGTGTGACGCTACGTAGTTGATCGGTCAAACGTTTCCAGATAAGCACAACCTACAAACAAAACCCCAAGACAGTTACCCTAACTATCCACCTCCTCCTCTTCCCTTCCTTTCCCATTCTTTTCCCGCCCCCATTACCCGAAAAGCAAAATGCTCAATACGGCACCGCTCATGCATAAACGTGTGCAGCCGACAACCGATGCACACACACACATAAGTAAAGCCACACACCGTGGGTCAAGCTCACAGCCACCACCACCTCCTGCTCTTCCACCTCTCCCTTCCCTCCTCCCTCCCCCGTTCCACTTCTATCAAGCAAATTCCATCCTCCTTCCCTCCCCTTTCTACTCTTTAAAAGTCCCGGAACATGCGGTCCCACTCCGCCATCTCCTGCGCGGTGGCCGGCGGCGGCTCCTTGGGCTCCCCCCGGTGCGCCTCCGCCAGCTCGCTCTTGCGCTTGGCGCTGTCGCTCTCCTTGGGCTTGCGGGGCGGGTCGATGCGGCGTGCGGCCAGCCCCTCCCAGTCGAACCCGGCGAACCAGGGGTGCTGCTTGATGTCGCGAGCCTTGCCCTGTGGTGGGAGGGTGTGGGGGTGGGTGGGGGCAGGGTGGGTGGGAGGGAGACGTCCTCTACCGTACGTGCACGCATAGATCTAGATCTAGATCTAGATCATCAGATGTACGGCAGCAAGCCTGAGCTGCCTGCTGCACTCCCCTAGCAGCGACCCATGGAGGAGCCCATAGCCCACACCACACCCATTTCTTGCCCTTTACCCCCCTTCCCTCCCCTCCCCCCCCTCCTCCCCCTCCTCCCCGGCCCCACCTGCAGCATGCCAATCCGCTTCACCGGCTTCCTCTCCAGCAGCTTGCTGATCAGGTCCGTCGCCTCCTCGCTCATGTAGGGCGGGTACTTGATGGGCCAGCGCTCGTCCACGATGCGCCGCATCACCTCCATGGGGTCCTGCGTCTTGGGGCTGGTGAAGGGCTGGCGCGCCGTCAGCAGCACGTACATCAGCACGCCCAGGGTCCACCTGCATGGGTGGGTGTGGGAGAGGGGGGAACATTATATATAAGGAATGCAAACAACTAGAGTCCCAATCACAACCGGAGGGGGAGGGGGGTAAAGACTGGGTAACGAAAGGGCATAAAAAGGGTGGGAAAGGGAAAGAGGAGGTATAGGAGAAAGGGTATAGGAAAGGAGGTGGGGAGAGCGGGTGTAGAAGGATGACCCGGGCTTCCGTGTTCCCCTCTTGCCCCTCTACCAGCTGTCGCCAAGTGCCCTAGGGAGCCCATCCTACCCTCTCCCCCCACCCCCTCCACCCCCACCCCCCTGTTCTTGCCTTGTTTGCCATTCTTATTCAACACATTGAGTATCCTTGATTTCCGCTCCCCCCAACCTGTGGTCTCCTATGGTTTGGTATGGTCTTTCACCCCCCTCCCCACCCACCAGTCCACCGAGTGGTTGTATCCCCGCCCCATCACGTTCTCCGGCGCCACGTATCCCGGCGTGCCGCAGAAGGTGTAGGTGCGCCCGCCCGTCTCCACCATCTTGGCGAATCCAAAGTCACCCAGCTTCACGTAGCCCTAAAGCAGCAGCAGGGGGAGGAGGGGGGAGCGGCGAGGGGAGGGACGGTGGAATGTAGGGGGTGGGAGTGAGGTCAGAGATAGGCCAAACCGTACGGAAAGTTAGGGGGGGTGGGGTAAGAAGCAGGGCATTGACGAGTGGGGTGGGGTGGATATGCCATCGGTACGGTATGTCCAGCGCGAAGAGGGCTAGCTAGCACATAGCGACAGGCCAGTACCGGTAGTACTCCTACCGCCGACCTTTCTAACAACGGTGCTCTTCCCTTCCCCCCCCTTCCCCCCCCCCCCCCCCGCACCCCCCCCACCTGCGCATCAATGAGCACGTTCTCCGGCTTGAGGTCGCGGAATGCGATGCTGTTGTCGTGCAGATACTCCAGCGCCAGCACGATGGAGGCGATGTAGAAGCGAGACATGGACTCCTCCAGACCCTGGTGCGGGGTAAAAAACAATATCATGAGACAGAGCGGGAGGGGTACAAAGATATACGGTGCCAAAGGGGGAAAATAAAAATTCAGTTCCAGAGGGTGAGGGGGAGAACGGAAGAGGTGGTAGGGGTCAATGTAGGGGAGGTGGGGGGGGGAAGGTAAGGAAGACCAAGACCAGAGCCCCCTAGCTGCTGTTGCGAGTAACGAGTGACAGTGACAACGGCACCCCCTCGCGGCCCATCACTGCAGCGGACAGTGCGACTCGACTCCCAAACCCCCCACATGCCCACATGCAGTGCCAAGCAACGTGCCCTCCTCCACAGCGCTTGGCCCTTGTCATCACACACGTCACGTGCTGACACATGGTGCAACTCCATGCTCTCCACCCCTACGGTAGGCCACGTCTTTAGCCACACAGCTGAACCTCTCAACCCCCAACCACCACCACACACCCCGCCAACCCACCTGCCACATCTTCATTTTGGGCGCCAGACAGCCCTTCCGCAGCGAGTTCTTGTCGGGGACCGGGTACTTGATAACCTGTGCGGCGGCGGCAGGGAGCGGGCGGGAGGGGGGCAGAAGGAGGATCAGAAGACCATGTTGTTAACATTCAATCAAAGCAACCTCCTATTTTCGAGCGAGTGGTTAAGAAAGCGGGCGGGGTGTCGCTGTGCGGTGCAAAACCGGTACTATTCCCCCTCTCACGTGCTTTTGCGCTTCCCAAGGGCCCCCATACACCATGCCTCTTTCCTCCCCTCCCCTCCCCTCTCCTTCTCCCCCCTCCCTCCCTCCTCTCCCCCCTTCCAACCCCACCTTGGCCTCCGCCACCAGCACGTCCATGAGGTCGCCGCCCGGCATCAGGTCGAACAACATGTACAGGCTGTACCGGTCCTGGGGGGGGAGGGGTAGGGAGGGGTAAGGAGGAGGAAACTGACGTGAGACGGTGAGAGAGAGGGTAAAAAATATAATGAGACACTGACGAAGCAACTGAGAGAGAGGGGGGGAAGAAAGGCGAATTATGTGTGGAATGATGAGAGGGGGGAGAAAGATGGGAAGAGTGGCTGAGTAATTAAATGCACATTGCGCACGTGTGGGGTTACTCCTTAGAGCATGCATCATGCATGTGTATGTGAAAAATACAAACCGCAGCAGACAGACCCATGGGTCACATAACACCCACCACAGTACCACCAAAGCGCACCACCACCAGCAACAACAACAGGCGCGCCACCCTCCTCCCCCTCCTCCCTCCCTCTCCTCCCTCGCCACCCTGCCGCACCCCCTAACCCCATTGCGTCTGGCCCTCACTTGCGGTTTCCTTGGCGGTTAGGTCTCTCTATCTCCTCGTCCCCCCCCCGTACCTGGAAGGACGCGTACTGCCGCAGACAGAAGGGGTGTGCGATGTTGCGGGTGATGTGCTGCTCGCAGAACACGTGGTCGGGGCACTGCAGCGCCGCGGACTTGGCCATGCGCTTCAGCGCGAACACACGACCCGTGGACTCCTCTGCGGGGGGGAGGGGGGGGTGGGGGAGGGGGGGCGGTGGGGAAAGCATGGTAAGTGCGGCAACTGGAGGGTAGGGCGGTGGGGGTCTGAGAGAAACGGAAGTACACGAGGTACGTATATTTCCCCCCGCGTTTGAGGTCAGAGCTATGAGGAGGACGGCGGGGAGGTGGGGCGGCAAAGAGGAAGGAACCAAGGAGTGGTGGACCGCTTCACCCGCCTCCGCAGCAGCTCCTCCCGAGCAGCCTCCCTCTCCCGGGACCCCCTTCTCGCCGCCCCATTAGCTGCTGCGACTGCCTGCCAGCCTACCGTACCTAGCTGCCCCACCAGGACACCACCATCCTTCCCTTCTCCTCCTTAGGGGCCTTGTCCTACCTCCCCGTCCCCACATAATAAGCTTCTTCTCTCCCCCCCCGGTCCCCACCCAGTGGTTCAAAGCATGCGGTACCGCACCCCTTGTTTGTTTCTCCCTGCCCCCTCCTTCCCTCCCCTCCCTCCCCCACCTGTAACCTTGCACACGCGGCTGAACGCCCCCTCTCCCAGCAGCTCCCCCTCCACCAGCACCAGCCGCCGGCTGTGGTCCCGGTGCTCATCTGGCGAGGGGGAGGGCAGGTTGGAGAGGTTGGGAGTCAGAGAGGGGTTTGGGAGAGAAGAGAGAAGGGAGGAGGGACTAGGGGTGGGGTGGGGTTGAGGTGGGCGGGGTTTAGCCAGGGCAGGGGCGTGAAGAGGGGCGGAGGGACAGACGGAGGCCATGCATGTCTGCGTGCGGGGAGCTCGGGGTGCATGCATGTGGGGGGAGGGGGAAGGCAAGGGAGGGAGGAGGGGCGAAGAGGGGGAGAGGCCTCACGGGGACATACATGAGGGCCAGTTTTCTTAACACACAGGCTGGGGCCCCATGGGGCCTCCGCGGGTGTCCCTTCCTGACAGCATGGGTTTTACCCTACCCCGTGTGCGCATGCCGGTGTCCCCCCCTCCCATCACCCCTTCCTCCCCTTTAGCCATTGTAGTTGGTCTTCGTTGTACCGCCTCCCCCCTCTCCGCCATCCCTCCCTGCCTCATTTTGTACATTTGCCCCATCTCCCACTCCTCCTTCCCCCTCCCACCCTGCATCTTCTGCCCCCTTCCCCCCTCCCCCTCTCACCCTGCATCTTCTGCCCTCCCTTCAGCAGCTCCAACACCTCGTCCAGATGCCCGTCGCACATCACCTGGCGCGACTTGCCCGAGCCAGCAGACGCCGCCCCCGCTGCTGCTGCCACCCCTGCTGGCCCCGCTGCTGCTGCTGCTGTTGCCGCTACGTGCCCCCCGTAGTTCTTGATGAGCACCTCAGCGGTGGGTCGCCGGAGCGCCGCACTGCCCTGGGGCCTCAGTTTGGCCATGCGCTGGTTCACCACCTGAGGGGGGGGGCGGAGGATGGGGGAGGGGGGAGGGGGGGGAAGGAGGGCGGGAAGGGCAGGGAAGGAAGGCGATGAGGGCACCTGACGACGGTGACGACAGCACACGCAGTTCCCCTTCTTCCGCCTCTTCCCTGCCCCTCTGGCCCCTGCGGACTCGGTATGGGTGGGCGACGATAACCCTCACGTGTTGCGTGGCACCCTGCCGCCTCCTATCCCCGCTGCTTTGCTCTAACCCGTGACTTCCTGTGGTTGGGTCTGGTCGTCGACCCCCTGCCACCCTGGCCCCCAAGCTCCCCTAAGCACCCAAGCACCCCCAGCCCCAGTTGCTGGATTCCATTTGCTGCACTTCTCACTCAGTTTTACGCGCCCCCCCGCCCGCCTGCCCCCACCTCCGCGCTCTTCTCCTTCTTCATGATGTCCTGCAGCGGCCCCAGCACCGCCACGAAGGTGCGCCGGTCCAGCGTGAGGCAGGTGAGCGAGGTGAGCGCGTTCACGGTGGCACGACTGCGGGGGAGGAGGGGGGGGAGAGGAAGGGGAGGAAGGGGAGGGGGGGGGAGAGGTGGCAGAAGAGCGGGGTGAGAACCTTAGCACGGCGGGGTGAGGGATGCGGGCATGGCAGAGGAGGGGAATGGACATGCTGCGCGTGCACATGCACCAGAACCCTTTTCCCTTTCCCTCTCTCTTATGCCCTCCCATGTCCAGGGGGAGCATGCAAACCTATCCCCCTCCCTCTCCCTCCCTCCCTCTCCCTTGTCACACGGGGAGTTCGTTCCACCCCTCCCTCCTCCCCCTCCCCGCCCCCTCACCGCGGCTCGTCTTGCAGCAGCGCCTGCTCCCCGAAGAAGTCGCTCCTGAACAGCCGGTTGACCTCCTTGTCGCCCTGCAGCACCCGCGCCTCGCCCTCCTTGATCAGGTAGAACTTGTCACCCAGGTCGCCCTCGCAGATGACACGGGCGCCGGCTGGGGGGGTGTGGGGGGGGAGGAAGAGGGGGAGAGGGGGCGGGTACGGGAAAGGAAAGGGAATGGGTCACACCCCGAATCGGTTTAATCCTCTCTTGCCGCCCCACCTCTGCTAAACCCACCCACCCACCCGCGTAGCCTTTTTCCATGTCGCCATCCTCACCCAGCTTTCCCCCCCTCCTTCCTTCGAGCTTCAGTCTTCTTCCTCTTCTTTACTCCTTCCGCTTCTGTGCTGCTCCCCGTGCAGCTCTCCTCCCTCCTGCCACACCTCCACCCACGCCCACCCACCCTCGTTCCCCCCTCCCCTCCCCTGAGCGCAATCCTAAAATCCAGCGAAATGCGGGCTCTTCATCCCTCCCTCCTACCCACCTGCGTAGACCTCCTCCTGGAACGCGTCCACCAGCTTCATCTTCTCCTCGGGCCGCAGCGACGCCAGCAGCGGCACCGAGTTGAGGAAGATCTGGACCTGGCTCTTCTCGTCCTCCACACTCGCCTGGACAAAGTGCCTGGGGAAGGGAGGGAGGGGGAAGGGGGGTGGGTGAGAGAGGGGAGGGGACGGGCGAGGGAAAAGCCATGTGGGTCGCGTGATTGGATCGGGGGTGATGTGGGTTTGTCGTAGCGTGTGCCGGGGAGTTGCAGGTGGGTCGGGCTGGCTGGGGTGGGGAGAAACCCACATAGGAGGTCATTCAGCTCCGAATGTGTGCGGTGGAGGGTAAGGAAGGGTAAGGTACCTGAAGACGTCACGTTCGAGGACCCATACGCTTGCGTCCGTTGTGGCTGCGACGGTTGCTGACCGAGGGCAGTCGTACATGAGGCTGATTTCGCCGAAGACATCGCCACGTTCCTTGGTGTTGACCTTGAACATGACATCCTTCCGCCGCTCAAGGACCTGCCATGGAGCAGCGACGCAAGGTTTCTCGCATGGCATTTTAACTTTTGGTAGCAAGGCAGATATGGGGGACCCACCGGCAAAAGTCACTTACTTCGAACTTGCCGCTGCGGACCACGAAGAGTTTTGTCGCAGCATCCCCTGTGTCGCCTTGCTGGATTAGGATTTCACCGGCCAGTACTGGGAGCATATACATTTCCGAGACAATACGTTGAGCTGTAACCCGATCCAAGCGGCTGAAAAGCAGAAGGTTGATAAGCGAGCTCTGCGGAATTCGGGATTGGCAGGAGTCAGAACTTCGCAACAGCCATGTGTCCACAGTAACAAGAATCATACCTTAATGAATTCATAATCGCTAGCTTCTGTACGCGTCGCCTTCGGCGGTAACTTGATGTCGAGCTTGGTAGCGCCCGCTTTGTTGCCTGTAATAGCCTGCAGAAGACAAAGAAAGAAACCGATTGTACTCCAAAAGGTTGTGCGTTGCAGGTAGGAAACAAACTCTGTCTATAAGACCGTTGGTGGTGCAAGCATTGCCCGCTAGCTCACCTTGGCACGCCCGACTTGCGTCTTTTGAGCGATATATGGAACATGCCCATGGTCTCTTTCTCCATATTTACTATGCTCATGGCCCATGTCGCCCTCCCAGTCGCTGCCGGAACTCTCCGCAGCAAGCTGAGCGTCAAGTGCCCTTAGCTGTTCTGCAAGAGAGTGGTGTTTGAGCGCCAGTGTTCCTAAGCCCACACTGGGGCGAAGACAAGATGAGCGCCAGCCGGATTTTAAAAGAGTAGCGCGTCAGCGTGTAGGAACCGGTACTGTCAGTAAGTCGGCGTCTGCTACTGTATAAGGTGAGTTAATTTGTGCAGTGGAACACTGGAGGTGCTTATAGACAGATGTCGCTTTCACTGTGGAAGTGAATGGTCTCTGTAGTTCGGTCAGAGCAATATGCACCGTACGCCGTCGTACGCAGGCAAGCGTCGTCGTTGTCTGGCGAGTTTTTGCAAGTATCTCCTTCCTGAACATCAGACGCCTAAAACACGTTTTGGTATCCTTCAAAAGTCCAACTGGGGAATGCTCCGATCGAATTCCGTTGACAAGTTTCGCCCGTTGAAGACAAGGAGTGTCACCCCGCTGCTTCTTTATCCCAACGCCAACCTCCTCATGGCCCTCATAATTACGGATTACGTCGACGGCGAGCTTCTGCAAGATCCTTTGGTCTTTCCGAACGACGAGGTCGGTTTCTATGCGTCCTGACACGAGGACGCAATCCAGTCGGACAGTTGCACTTCAAGGCTTCTCTATCATGGTTGCGATCGTCTAGCTTAGCAATGGCTCAATCCTAATCTGGTTATGGAAACCGGGGTTGTAGCCGGGCGCCTGTAATACGGTAGCCTACCCTTGCACGCTTCTGCTGCGGTATGCTTATTCGCCCTTAGATAATGCACCGCTAGTAACTGGAGACTAGGTGAGAAGCATGTCAGGGTCGAGATGCGGTCGCTTCGTATGCATGCCGATATGCCGAGGCGGTTGAGACTCCAACTGCCCAAGCACGTGAACAAGCCCAATACTACACCGAAACCATTTCGGTGGTTCGTGACGGAAAGCGTTTCCACGGTAGCCGGCGATCGCTGTGCTCAACTGCCAGCCCAGAATGCAGCAATGATGGCTGGACATCCATGCAGGAGCGAGAGGCATGTAAGGCACTGAAACCTTCGCACCTTCGGTGATTGTCGCACCTTTGTGATATTTAGACTATCCATTACAGACCACCACACGCGAAATGGGTTGTTACACGGTTCGACATCCGAGGCCCCTAGCGTATACGCACATGCAAGGCTAGCAGCCTATTCTACCTTCCTCAGCCACTACCTACAACCGATAATACATACCGGTATGCGCGCTCCCAGCCGTGTTACTTCAAGTCTAACCCTGCCGACTGCTTTCTTCCCACCTTCTTCGGACTCATACGTTTCCGGCTGTGAGTCCGAACTCTTTTGACTCCGCCAGCTATTTACAGCTGTGCTGTCGCTGGGGTGAGGCGACAAGGCCGCCGTAGGGGTGGGGGAGAAAGAAATGAGGAGCCAGGGCGTGGTGGGCGGGGCTTGCATCGTTTCGCATCGCCATCCAACTCTTCCCTCCTCCGAGGCAATGCCGTTGCAACTCATGCCAGGGAGATGAGACACTGGACAA